TAATTATCCACCATCATGCACATATAATTGAGATTAGTACACCAGGTTCAATCACTGGTGTTTACTGCAAGTGAAATATGCTATTGCCGTTGGTTGGACTGGCAGGCGGCTAGAGAGCTCATTCTCCGGAGTTAGCACCCAGGGCGCGTTACTCCCTGGTTTTAATCTCGCTGAATTAAAACTGCCTTGGACATTGCTGATAGCTGCTGGTATCTGCTACAACACACACACACACTGCCTGAGATATGATAAGAGAGCGTGATAAGTCGAACTCAGTTACAAACAATCATGTACGTCTGGCAAGGAAGACACATGGCTTCACACAGACGATGTTTAGTTACGTTGTTATGTGGCACATGACTTTCAACTATGTCAAAACATGAACGCTGATAAGATGCAGTTTTTGAATATTTGTACAGAGATTCTGAAGATGCCATCAACCCCTCAGGATGTAAGGAGGCTAGGACAAAAGTAGGGGGACAAGCCTTGCCCCCTCAGGATCACACTAGTTTGTGAGGAGGAGAAATGGGAGGTTATTCGGCAGGCAAAAAACTTAGCAAGGAGCGAGGCATCTCGGAGTGTTAGTGGAAAATTAATATAACAATAATGTATACAGTATTACCCCGCCTAACGCGGTTTCACTTAACGCGTTTTATCATATACGCGGTGCCTCGCCAGAGCTGAACTTTCACTTAACACGGATTTTTTCCACATATACGCGGTGAGTGTCCGGCTCGAAACGCTATTTTTAGATTTGCTCCACCCGCCACCCTGCCTGACTGCCTGTTTTAGCTCATAAAATTCATACAAATTACCCGGCCAGAATATAATTTACATTGCTGGAATTCTTATAATTTGGTGATCATTTTGAATATAAACATCATATATTTTGCATTAGACATACAAATTTTAGATAAAATGTTTACTCTTGAGTAAATATGTTATCTTTTGTGCAAAATATATGACATTTATATTCAAAATATTCCTGGTCTTACAAGGAATCCAGCAATGTCAATTGTATTATCCTAACTTTAGTTTGAGGTATTATTTATTAAAATTTAGTGGTTTTCCCCCAAAAATTTCTCAGAGAGGGAAGAGCCGGCAGTGTAGTGTGAGAGAGGAGGGAGTTGAGTCCATTATTTGAATGGACATTAACTTGGCGACTGTATTTCTCTATTTCTCTTAAGTATTAATTGTGTGCATGTACCATCATAAAATTAAGATGTTATTTTTACTACAACATAGTTATGTGTCTTCAAAAAGTGGAGTTTGGGGGTCGGGCCGGTTTCTATTGGAATTAATCCCATATGTTCTGTTGTTCACTTAACGCGGATTTTACTTAACACGGGACCCTCTGGGTTCTATTGACCGCGTTAAGTGGGGTACAACTGTATACTGTATACAGTAGTAGAAGATTTTATAGTATAAACCACAATAAATATACATTTGGAAAAATATTTAAAAGTTTGTGATACAGAATTGCAGGAGTACAATACTGCACTAAAGAAAAAGGATTGGAATTTTCTGATGAAAAGAGAGGGGGTTCGGACCTCCCGGATCTGCCCTTGAAATTATGTAAAACAGTGCCATTGGATGAGTTTCGATTTCGCTGATGTTTTCATTATAGTAAGTAGCTGCGTATCCCCCGCCATATTAAACAGAAAGTACTTATTTTAATATCTGATATCAATGTAAGTGCTCGGGCCATTGTGAGGTGAATCAAGCAACGAAACTCGTAGGTCTTAAAAGATGGTCGTTCAGATATCTAGACGGTCCGTCCCTCGAAACGATCTTCAACAGTGAGGTGCTTCCCTGTCTGGCCCCGAGATATGCTAAGAGACTGTCAATTGATTGAAAATGTCCAAAAAAAGGCCACCAAGCTGTTAACTGTTCCTTGGCACCTCAGCTACCCGGAGAGATTAGAATGCCGGTAAGCTAGGCAGTTGCCTTAGCTTATACTACAGATGGGCAAGGGGTGACCTAATCAGGGGCGGATCCAGAAATATCATGGAGTTCCCAGAGGCTGGTTGCAAGTGACGTCAAGGCAAACCCAAGAGCGTTTTACTGCTTTGCAAAGTCGAAATTAAAAACACGAGTAGGAGTATCGGATCTGAGGCTTGATGATGGTAGTTACGCAAAGTTTGATCAGGACAAAGCCGAGGCACTGAACAGCTTCTTTTCCTCGGTGTTCACAAGAGAGGGTGCAAAGAATCTTCCTGTGTTTGAGGACAGACGGTACGACACAGCACTGACCCACATTGTGTTCACACAGAAGAGGTTATAAGAAATGTTCATAAGAGTCCCGGCCCTGACATGGTGCATCCTGTTTAGTAAATACCTGGATGAGCAAAAGGTCCCCAGTGATTGGAAAATGCCTTATGCGAGTCCTATCCTCAAGAAGGGTGATCGTCACTCCACAAATAACTATAGACCAGTGAGCCTAACAAACACAATATGTAAAGTACTTGAGAGCATTTTATGAGATGCTATGATGAAACATCTATAAACAACCTTGTAAATGATTGCCTACATGGTTTTGTACCTGGACTCTCCGGCTTAACACAATTACTCAAGGTAATGGATATTTTAACCCAAATCCTGGAACAGGATGGTAATATAGACAAAATTTTCCTAGATTTTGCCAAGGCTTTCGACATTGTACCCAATGAAAGGCTGAAAATTAAACTGGAAGGGTACGGGATTCGGGGAAATGTCTTAGCGTGGACAGAAGACTTTCTTCATGACTGCAAGCAGTGTGTGGTGGTTAATGGCACGAAATCATCTGTACCCGACACAAGCGGGATACCACAGGGCAGTCTGTTGGGCCTGCTGTGAAGAGCTGCAGAAGGATCTTTGAGCTTCAAGAATGGTTGAAGAAGTGGCTGCTAAGATTCAATGTCACAAAGTGTAAGAGGATGCACCTGGGACGTACTAATGGTAAGAGGGCATATCGTGTGCTCCAACGGGACGAAGAGAGTGCATTAAATGAGATGGAATGTGAAAAGGACGTAGGTGTGTACGTTGACAATGAACTGAAATTCTCGGCCATTGTGAGAAGAAGGCTAATCAGGTGATTAAATTATTAGGTCTTATAAAGAAGCGTTAAAGGCGTTCAGATATCTAGACGGTCTGTCCCTCATAACGATTTTCAAGAGTGAAGTGCTTCTGCGCCTGGAGTACTGTCACCCCGTCTGGTTCCTGTGATATGCCAGGGATTCAGTTGATTGAAAATGTCCAAAGGAGGGCCACCAGACTGGTGCCTACACTTCGGCACCTCAGCTACCCTGAGAGATTGGAGCGCCTGAACTTGCCTAGCTTATACTACAGACGGGCAAGGGGAGATCTAATTGAAGTGTACAAGCATCTCAAAGGGCACACTGCTCAGTCCAGTGCCCCTACCTGGAGCTGGCGGATGCTCGCCCCACGAGGGGACACAGCTCAATGCTAAAGAAGTTGCACGTCCAGAATACTGTGAGGGGTAACCTTTTCGGAGTGAGAGTTATGAACTCGTGGAACAACCTGCAAGTGTGTTGTGATGGCACCGAGTGAGCTCTTTCAAGACCCGATTGGATAAGCACTGGAGCAGGTTCAGATACATTCAAGAGCCGGTGCATGCCCAGTACTTGCCAACAGTGCATAACAGAGATGTAACCAATCGCTCAAGTGGCCAACGAGCCAATCAGTGGTGAAGAGGATAAAAGTGAAAAATGAACCAGAAGAATTTGGATGAAAGTGGCCTAAGAAATGACCTTGTTGTGTTTCTTAAACCCACAGGAATTTCAGAGGTAAAGATTCCTTTTAGGTTGAACAAGGAACTTCATATATCTATTTATGTAGGGAGAAAGGGAAAAAACTTAAGTTTCCATTGCAAATTTATATTTTAGAGTATTTTAACCGATATTACTCTCAAAATTACGTGTTCAAAGTGGGTAGGGCTTTGAAGTAGAGGGGAAATTTGGGGTAAAATAGCAACTAAATAGAACACCAAACAGAACTTTGATAACTGTACCTTACCTGACCTGGTGGTGGTTTTGTGTGTTCAGATGAGGAGGGATCCAAAAACTCGGAAGTGATTTTTAGCCAATTTACAATTTAGGAAAGGTATGGTATTTGTTTTAGTATTTTACCTGTACTTCAAAGCCGTGCCCACTTGTTGGTAATGGGCTGGGTCATACTGGTTAAAATACAGTACTACTCGAAAATATTAATTTGCAATGGAAATTTTTTTTTTTTTATATATACGTATATAGAAATAGCTACTGTATGAAGTTCCTTCATTAACCTAAAATGAATCTTTGTGATTTCAGATCTTCAAAATATTATAATGATGGTGTGTCAATATCATTGTTCCCAGCTCCTGACTTTTTGCTGCTCATAAGTTTCTTCAATTCTTGTTGGTAGTTGCAGCTGAACGCATTGATTTTCTGTCACCATTTCCCTGTTTGCCTTTGGTTCAGTTTCATTAAGTTTATCCACTAACTTATAATAGCACTCAGATTTCACACCTGTGTTCTTGTGCACATCACTTTACCTTCCACGTTGCTGGTAATCCCTACTCGTTTCAATAAACTCTTCAGTAATGCTTACCATGGCTGCTAGTGCATGACTGAGCATGATTGCGTGATCATAGCCATACCGTCAAGCATGATTGTGCAGGTGTTATGGTTGACGAAAAATATCTGAGTATGGTATCCGGTCATTTGCACATGCCTTCAGTCATACTAGGATGATCACAATGATTGTCATCAAGAGTGACTGTCTATGGGGGTCTTTAGGGTGGTTAAGCTTAAGGTGAAATAAACTGGGGGTTAACCTTCATTGATATTGTGATAGGTAACCCTAACGATACTCTAATATAAAAGGCTTATGACTACCCAATACTGTACATCAAAGTAGGCGTCAATGGGAATAATAGCAATTTTTATTTTGTGACCGTGAGAATGGCTCGGGTCACAAGCATGGTGAGAGACTTAAAGAATTATTCTAATGGGTCATGATTTACAGATGGACATCAAGAACCAGTAATGTTTGACAAGATCACCTCACGCATCCAGAAACTCTGCTACGGGCTCAACATGGAGTTCATTGATCCGGTAACACCTTATGATGGGTTTTGTTTTTAAAAATTACAGTACAGTACTGTCTGTGATACGGGTCACTATTATGGGGTTTTGGATTGCGAATAGATTACATTAGTCATTTTGGGGGAAAAATTGTATTTTATATTGAACATCATTAAACTATCATTTATGAGCTTTTACTTAAGAGAACTTTTCATGTAAATGTACAAAATTGTCATGATTCTTTTCCATTATTTGCCGTTTTAATTAAATAGTGGGCTAGTTTAGTCATTAAATAGCTGTACTAATTCTCTAGTTTGCCATTTTATGGAATTCTTGGGGGAAAAAATTGGTTAGGGAACAGATAAACAGAAAAGTACCATTGTTGCCAAACACTGAGAATGTTTATCTCTCCATTTTGTCAGATAGCTGTGGTCTGCACCTCTGGCATGTTCTGAGTTTTAGGAGGAAGAGAACACTGGGCATTATGGTTTAGTCATAATTTTGCCATAAATTCAGTGATTTTCTGAGTTTCAACATTATTCAGTGTATAAGTACATTCAGGTAACAATTATTCTATAAACCCTAAATCTTTCAGTACAGTATGGTGTAGTATAGTGGCACTCCTTTTGTTTTTTTCAATGTACGGTAAACAACTTCTGCCAAATTCATGTATGAAAGGTGCAGAACTCGCCCTTAAAACTGACCCAGAAACTGGCTACCGATGAAAACCTATATCTGGCAGTTCCCTAAATGACAATTTTCAAATTACAACCGAAACCTTAGATGGCACGAAATTGCATTATTTTATTTTTCAGTCGGCAATGACCTTGAAGGTGATAAGTGGACTTTACTCTGGAGTAACCACAGTGGAGTTGGACAACTTTGTAGCGGAAACTGCTGCCACCTTGACCACCAAACATCCTGACTACTCTGTTTTGGCAGCAAGGATTGCTGTATCGAACCTTCACAAGAAGACCAAGACATCTTTTAGTGGTAAGTGTTGTCATGAGAACTGATATATACTCGTAGCTGTAACCTCGTGTGACTGCAGTATATGTACACTCGGTAAAAAACTACCGTTACAATTCCTGTGTGAAACAAACACACTACAAACGAAGTGTTTCAAAAAGGCCCCTGAGGCATTCCTCGCATTGGTAGCCCTGCATGTGTATGAGTTCGGGCACATGTGCTTGAAAAAGTTATCGGCACTCTAAAAAGAGTCCGAGTTAGTGCTGCCACACAAACGCAAGGCTTTCGACAGTGTACCCCACGAAAGACTGAAAATCAAACCGGAAGAGTACGGAATTCGGGGAAATGTACTAGCGTGGATAGAAGACTTTCTACATGACCGCAAGCAGTGTGTGGTGATTAATGGCACGAAATCATCATTCAAACCTGTTATCACAGGGCAGTGTATTGGGCCCGCTGTTGTTTGTTTGTTTCATAAATGACATGCCTGATGTTGTACACTCCTTTTTTTTACCTGGGGCGTACCAACAGTAAGGAGGCGTATCATATGTCCCAACGGGATGAAGAAACTGCACTATTTGAGACAATGAAAAGGACCTAGGTGTGTGTTGACAATGAGCTGAAGTTCTCGGGCCATTGCGAGAAGAAGGTAAATCAGGTAAATAAATTATTGGGTCTTATAAGAAGGTCGTTCAGATATCTAGACGGTTCGTCCCTCGTAACGATCTTCAGGAGTGAAGTGCTTCCCCATCTGGAGTAGTCACCCCATCACCGGTTGCTTGTTGCCCTACGTAGATCCTGTTGCCCACTTCCCTTTTTGTATGATTTATATAATACAGTGACCCCTCGTTTAACGAACGCCTCGGTTAACGAAATTTCGGTTAACGAACTGCCTTCCATAAGGATCTTCAATTTGGTTAACGAACAAAAATTCGGTTAACGAATTTCTTACGAACCGACCTCAACATGTTTTCGCTTGCACTGACCGGGCAACCAGCTTTAGTATCAGTCCGCCAATACATTAATCGGTTCTAGGGCTTAAATTCCTTACTATTTTAGTAAGTATCAAGAAGTTTATACTATTCAATAATTTTAAAAGTTTAATATTCAATTTTTTAGTCATTTTAACATTAATGAACATAATTGAAGGTAAAGTGACTAGTTTAATGCGCGGCATCCAGCCTCTTAACACAGCAAACAGGCGTTAGTCTCTCTCTGTTTTCACTGGAGGTAACATCTTGCTTGAGACTCTCTTCAACTAAATGCTTTTTTTCTGTGTTTCCAAGCAAATTATTGGTCATTTTGAAATTCATTTTACATATTGACAATATATAATGCAGTGCAGTGTTGATTTAAAGAAAATAATCTTGAAATACACCAAGAGAACTAAAATTTTATGGGTGAAATGGTGCCATGGGGTGACTTCTCTTCCACCCCAATGCCTTCTCTTCTCCCTTCTCCTCCTCCACCTCCCACTTCAAATGCACATCATCATCATCATCCAGGAGCCTTCTACATACAAACCTCAAAGTAAGTGAACTTTTCTTCCATTTTTGTTGAATTTAGGAAATTTTCGGTGAGCTGGAACCAATTACCCAAAAACCCATTGAAACAATGGTTTCGGTTAACGAACTTTTCGGTTAACGAACGACCTTCTGGAACGGATTGAGTTCGTTAACCGAGGGGTCACTGTATATATATCAAATATTGAAAGGTATTACAGTAAGTGTCTTTATGAAAGTGGTGTGGCCCTATTACACACTTTCGCCTATGATTGGGTCTTGGAGGGGTCGACTTATATGGCGAGTATAGAACTAACCTGAAATTTGAAAAAAAAATCTTGAGGTCGACTTATATGCCGCAATTTCCGGTATATCCACTAACATATAATGCATTCTTATATGGCAACTCATCCACTTCCATGGTGACTGTAGTCCACTGTGTGGAACATTTAATATAACATAGTTTAACTTACCTAGATATTCTGACATTCTCCAGTCATTTGTAACAAAGAAATTCAACATTGTCAATGAAATAACTATTTTCGTCCTACCAAATTAATTATGAAATGTCTCGCATTCAGGCCTACCAACCCTTGTGAGACAACGGGAATGTTCTGTTGGAAAATCATCTGACCCCACCTGTACATGTTATATATGTGTATGGTTATATGCTGTCTTTATTGATGATATATACATTATATATTATGTTCCTTCATACCAAAGTTAGAATGTGTTTAGGCCTGTGTAATCACGAATGCGTTAGGCGCGTGGGACGACAACAACAATAATAAACCACCTGAGTAAGAGTCAGCATGTTGCTTCTCATTCTCCCATTAAATCATGTAAGATACTACATACGCTAGGTTTTTTTTTTACAGAGTGTACATTATTGTGGTATTGTGTTCAGTATTTTGCTGTAGTGAAGGTTACTGTACAGTACATGTTATATACCTATTGTTAAGTACAGTATACAGTATTTGTAATCCTAGTACAGTAAGTTAGACTAGACAACACAGGAGCCGAGTGTATTCAGTTCAAGTATCTTTTTATAATGAGACTTATGTTAATAGAGGTGATGGATGATCTGTACAACATGGTCAACAAGACGACTGGGCGGAAGATTCCAATGATTGGTGAAAAATATTACACTATAATAATGGACAATGCAAATAAACTAAACTCTGCCATCATCTATGACAGAGACTTTTCCTACAACTACTTTGGCTTTAAGGTTGGTAAATGTTACTTCTAATAATGGCTATTATTATAATGTTTTAGCTGTGTTATAAAAATTTTTGTATTTATGCTGTTCTATAAAATTTATAGTGTTTGTGTGGTCCTGTAAAAACTTAATAATCATTTGAAACTGCTTACAAAATGTAATATTTCTACAGGAATTACTTTGAGTTAGCATTTTTAAATTAAGTGAAATTGTACGTTAGTTTGCACACTACTTCATTGATTTTAATTTCCAGAAGGTGAACATTATAGTAATTTAGCTTGTGTGGAAGTGTGCTGGTGATAGGTAATGACACTGGGATGCTGGTCTTAGGGAATGAAGGTTATTTTGCTCATTACAATACGGGGTTCCTGGGTTAGGAACAGGTTCCGTTCCTGAGGACTTCCGTGAGTCGGAAATGTACGTAAATTGGAACTCATAATCCTATGTGCACTATACCATAGCCTAAGTCCTTTTATACTTCACAAATCTCTTAATTTAAGAGAAAAGTAGAAATTAAATGACAAAAACAGTAAAGAAAAGTAAAAATTAAAGTTTAGACACATTGAAGCATGGGGCCGGCTTGTATGTGGAGAAGGGCATTTGTAGGAGTGACAGAAGCATTATTGGGACAATAATAATGGTGTCACCACAACAAACGAAGAGCTCTGTTAGGGTCGGCGGCTGTCCGACACACGGAGAGGGAGTTCGGGCCTAGTTCCAAGGGTGTGGACTCGCACAATTTAATCGTGCCAAAGGCAGCCAGCTGGTGTGCTGCTACCAGTCCCCCGGTAACTGTTGGGTATTCAGCTAACACACACACACACTGTGCCTGAGATAATGATGGAGCAGCATCAGAGATGTGTCGAGAATAGTTCAATAACAAACAATCTTTCGTATAGCAATGACAGATGATATTTACGTTACATTAATTCTTTCACTGGGTAAATGACAATTTCACTGTTACAACATGAACACTGATATTCAAAAAATTCACTGAGTTAAACTGACTTAATGTGGCAGGCGTGGGAACATACACATACCTGAGATAATGATGGAGCAGCGTCAGAGATGTGTCGCTACTCCTTGGACACGAGTTTTATGAGTTTTGTACGGGTAACTGGCAACTCAGGTCTGTGCGCTATCCATGCTAGAAAGGCTAATCACGCAATGACAGAAATTACATTCAACTCAGTTGCTGTACATTTAATTAAGAAAAGCAATGCCATGGGTCAGGTGAATTTCTTACGTCTATTTTTATCTAATCGGAGATTGAGCCTGCCAGGAAAAAGTAAAATGGACGTCAAATACACACGCTGTTAACTCTAGTTTCACAAACTCGGCAAGGCTGCGAACAAGGAACTATTCACAGGGATATGTTAGATTTTGGAGATTATACAGGTTGACAGAATAGTTCAGGAGATTAATGACTTTCTTAAATAGACAATTGACACTAACTAAACTACAAATATCAGATTCTCTGATGCTTGGGCATCAAAATAATCTAACTTCAGTAGCAATTGGAAACTCATGGCTATCCCCAGGGACAGTATCATGGGATGCCATTCGTACTGGCAGACTCGACACTCACTTAACAAGTGTTACTAACAATAAAGACAGTTAAACTTTTACTTTTATCCTCTTCGCCACGGATCGGCTCGTTAGCCGCTTGGGCGATCGGTCACGTCTCTGTTACGCACTGTTGGCAAATACTGGGCATGCACCGGCTCCTGAATGTACCTGAACCCGCTCCAGTGTTGGTCAAGTCTTGTCTTGAAAGAGCTCACACTCGGTGCCGTCACAATACTCTCTGGTAGATTGTTCCAAGAGTTTACAACCCTCACTCCGAAAAAGTTTGCCCTCACAGTTTTCTGGACTTGCGGCTTCTTCAATCTTGAGCTGTGACCCCTTGTGGGGCGAGCGTCCGCCAGCTCCAAGTAAGGACACTCGACTGAGTAGTGCCCCCTGAGATGCTTATACACCTCAACTAGGTCCCCCCAAAAGCTTTCAACATCACTCACAAAGGATCTTGAATGCTTTAACTGAAATCAGACATATCTAAGTTGACTCAAAACAATGGTGTTCTCTCTCACATTCAAATTCACTTTATAAAGAGGTTGGTTTCAGGAAGTCAGAAAATGGATGGCACCCAAGCTTGGGAGCAATGAGAAAATGGTCACCTCAGATGGGAGACCCCATAAAGAAGGCATAGCTGCATGTTTTGTGGGCTATTGAGCGTAATATGAATCGTCTGATTTTACGTTAACTGACGTGTATGACCGTGGTCATTACAGTAGTACATATTTTACAGTGGTGTTGATATATATAAATATGATGGGAGGGAAGCAGCACAACGTGGGTTGCATTAAGGTGGAACAAGAAGACAAAGCTGTCCGTATCAAATCTTGTCAACTATAATTATTGTAATGGTAGTTTGTCTTATCTACTTGATGATCTATGATATAATGGTTTTGGTGGTACAATATAGCAGGAATACAAAGTAGGTATTTCAAGAATATTAATACTTAGACAATAGATATTTTTCAAGAGATGATTTAATGGAAGGGAGCGTAGTCTTTGCTCGGATGGGTGTGGGTAAGTTGTTCCACGCTTTCACACCATGATAGTTTATGGAGGTCTGGGACTGAGAGGAGAACACTGGGGGTGGTCTTAGTAGCTCTGGGTGTCTTAAGTTGTATCTCTGATTATTCCGGAACTGGAAATAATTATTGTCAAGCAGGTGATTGACAGATTTTCAAACAAAAAGGGCACAGCGATACTGTGGGTGTTAATATTCTTGAATTTAAAAATTTAAAATTTTGCAAATTGTTCGTTAGTGTAATAATTTTTTTCAAGTAGGTCATTGTTCGCACAACTCTCTTCTGTGCAGTAATCAGCCGATGTGTTTTTGAAAAGCCAGAGGCCCACCATAGTGTGTGACAGTGTATCAAGTGTTGGTAAACAAGATCATAATAGATTTTCATTGTTGATAGAGTGAGTGTGATACAGGATACTGCACAGTTTATTGATGTTACTGTGAATGGCTTGTATGTGGTTTCTCCAGCCAAATTTCTTAACAACAACAACCCCAAGGAATTTTTTAATTTGTTTGCATTTGTGGACTGTATTTCCAAGGTATAGGGGGTCCAAATCTGGGGGCACATTTTTCCTTTGTGAAAGATTGTGTAGCGTTTTTTTTTTTTTTTTTTTTTTTAAGGTCACTTTATTACGTATTACCCAGGTCCTGACTTTGGTCAATTCAGTGTTCATAGATCTCATCGAGGAATGGAGATCTAAGTTGCTGGCATAGAGCTTACTATCGTCTGTGAATAAGTTGTATTTGACGTGTGTGATGGAGTGGACTTGTTTATATACAAGAAAAGCAGTACAGGACAGAATGAAACCTTGAGGATTGCCATACATAATTGGTGAGGAGTCAGATTGATGATTATTATAGGCTTTATAGCAGACATAATGCTTCTATTAGTCAGATATGAGGTAAACCAATTGTGGGATAAGCCTCTAATGCCATAATGTTCAAGCTTTGCCAGTATCAAAGGCTTAGAGAGATCCAGGAATATTTCGACTGAACTGATTGTCATCAAAGGCATTTAAAATGTCATTAGTAAAGGAGTACTCTCAGTTGACCTTCTAGCTCTTAAGTCCAAACTGAGAGTCTGTAAGGATGTTATTGACACTGCAGAAGGAATCTAGTCTACTACATGGTTTTGGTTGCCTTTCAACTTTCTTAAAAAAACTTCAGGGGATGGTTGAACTGAAACTTTCTTCTCTTCATAAATCTCTATAGCTTCGTAGACATTCAGTAATACTGTACCTCTATGAACCTTGCTATGTTGTGATTTTGCTGTTCAAATTTAAACAATCCTTCAGTAATCCTGAAACCTTCTGCCATTTCTTTTGTGACAAAATGCTTTGGTTCTGGAATCTAGACTTCCTCTACATCCTCTGACAAAATTTGCTTCTCCAGTTCAATCAGGTCCCCATTGCTTGATTCTTCGGCATGAGGCTTGAGTAACTGTGTGACATCCTCATGAATATCAAGCTGGAGTTTGTTTCCAAGGCCTACCACTGTCTGTGTCACTTCCCCAACCTTATCTTCAAAGCCCTTGAAATTGTGGACAAACTGTGGGCAGTTTTATCCAAACTCTTTCATGTTGGTTTCTTTTACCTCAGCTCGTGAATCTGCAATGTTTTTCACAGCATCCAAAACGCTGTTGGACTTCCAATATTCCTTTTAATTCCCACTATTTTTTTGTTCTGTTGCCCTGGTAGCTTGAGCAAATGTCCTCAGGTAATTATGCTTTAAATGATGCAAAAACTCTGTGATCCATCGGTTGTAAAACAGTTGTGGTGTTTGGAGGTAAATACACAACCTTAATGTTTGGATGAAAATCATCTAAAAATGCTGGATGGCCAGGTGCATTGTCAAGAACCAAGAGAATTTTAAAAAGCATTGGCTTTGAAATACAATGCCGCTCCACTTAAGGCATAAATTAATTAGGGTACCAGTCTTCAAAAAGAGACAGAGACACCCAAGCCGCCTTATTAGCTTTCCAGGTAACTGAAAGTGATGCCTTGAAAACACCCTTCAAAGCTATAGGATTTTCTGACTGGTAGATAAGCAAAGGTTTTAGTTTGTAGTCCCCAGCAGCATTACCCCCCAACAGTAAGTTCAGCCTCTCTTTGGTAGATTTATGCCCTGGTGCTGTTTTTACGTGCTTTGAAAGGTACGTGAGTTTGGGCATCCTTTTTCAAAATAAACCAGTCTCGTCAGTATTAAAAACTTGCTCAGCACAATAACCTTCTTCAATTACTTTAGCTAAAGCAGTAGGAAATTCACGAGCTGCAGCTTTACCTTGCACTTTAACGGTATGTAAGTTTGCCCTTGCCTTGAACTGGTTAAACCAGTGCCAACTAGCAACAAAATCTTCCCCATTACTTTCATCACCACGTTTAGCCTTCAAGGCAGCATGCAAGCTTCTTGCTTTTTCCTGAATCAAGGTTAAACTTGGAGGCCATATCACTTACAATCCACTTCTTTGTTTAGTTATCACAGCTGACTGCATTGGTGTAGATCTTTTAACATGTTCAAAATTGTTCTGACCGTTGAGCAGCTGAAACCCAACTCCTTACCGATCACTGAGGGTGTTACGCCATTTTCAGAACGTTCAATTACGTCAAGTTTAACTTCCGTCAGAATTGTTTTCCTTTTCTTGAATGCACTACTATCTCTTGCATGAGGTTTGTGTTTGGAAGCCATGATGAGGGCCAAAAAAGAGAGTTAATAAGCATTAAACAAAAGTTTACACTTGATCACACACGTTATGGAGGTTAGGGTAAGCAGTATACTGACTCAAGGCGAGTGGTTGGCCGACTCAACATTCCCCACGCGCCGCTCTACCTCACCTCTATGCCGTGCAAACTTTTTCTCGTATGTAGCTGCTACGAACCATTGTACTCTTGTCATATTTTTAAAATTGACCTTATGGGACTTCGTTCGTATTGGCCGGTGTTCGTAAGTCAGGGACCCCCTGTACTTGAGATACTGCGTATTAATGTGTAAACTTAAGAAATGGAGAAATAATTGCAGTAATATGGAAGTTAAAGTTTATTATATTTGAGGCTTTTTTGGTTATTGTGACATTAATGTTAAATTATGAGTGCAGTATACAGTATATGTGCCTAGGTCACTCCATGGGGAATTTAAAATTTATATTTGACTGAAATTTTGATTATGAAGTTTTAATTAAATAAATAGAATGTTCGAGATCTTAAATGCCTTGCTATATTATAAGGATGGTGACATCCATATGTTGAAATTAAAAGAAAAGAATTACTGTACTGTATTTTCTGGTTTAGGAGTCTCAAATTGCCCTGCACCTCTATACACCGAAGGTATTAGTCATTCACTGTCTGTAATTCAGAATACAGTGCAGGTTTTAATGTAAGATTTTCTCACCCAGACTCTGGAACGTTCTTATCTACTGAAAATCGATGGGAAGGTAGCAGAGCGTCCCCAACAGATGCTGATGAGGGTGGCAGTAGGCATCCATGGTGAAGATATTGATGCTGCCATTGAGACATACAACTTGTTATCTGAGAAATGGTTCACTCATGCAACCCCAACTCTCTTCAATGCTGCTACTTGTCAGCCACAGTTGTCAAGGTGTTACTATACTTCTTTTTCGGTTCGACTTGACAACTCTATAGCTAACTTTCCCCCTGATAAAGCCAATCTCTTTGGCACCTTATTCTCCTCTAACTCCACCTTAGACGATTCCAACTCTATCCCTCCTACTCCTCCTGAACCTATGCTCTTTCCTATAATCTCCACTCTTAGGGTTGCTGGTGTGTTATCCAGGTTGGATGTTAGTAAGGTGCATGAACTGGACGGAATACTCCCTTGTGTTCTGAGGGAGTGTGTTGAACTTCTGGCCCGTTCTTGCTCGCTTCTTTTGCCTTTGCCTCAAATCCCAAACTTTTCCTTCTTCTTGGGAGCATGCCTTGGTTCAGCCCATCCCGAAGAAATGTGACTATTCTGATCCCTCTAGCCATTGCCCCATTGCCCTAACTTTATCCCTCTAAGATTTTCCAACTCTCATTTTCTCTGTCACCTTGAACACCATTCTCTTTTGTCGGATCACCATACAAACGAGATCTACGGGTGATCTGCTCTCCTGCACCCATCTTTGGTCATCCTCTCTTTGGGATTATGGGAAAACTTTCGTTGTGGCCCTCAACATCTCCAAAGCATTTGACAGGGTATGGCACAAGTCTTTGCTTTCTAAACATACCTCTTATGGTTTCTCTCCCCCACTTCGTTCTCTAATTTCTAGCTTCCTTGAGAACCGATCCATGGCAGTTGTTGAAAGATCGATATCTCACTATTTCTCTACCAATAGTGGTGTCCCACAGGGTTCTGTTCTTTCACCTACTCTCTTCCTTCTTTTTATCAATGATTTACTTCACACACTGACTAATTCTATCCATTCTTATGCTGATGGTTCTACTCTTCACTCTTCTTCACATTTTCCCTTTCCCCCTAACTCTCAAACTAGATTTGTTTCTAGAGATGATATCATTACATCTATCAATGCGGATCTGTGCAGCATCTCCGAATGTGGAGGTAGAAACTTGGTTAAATTAAATAGTAATAAAGCTCGGTGTTTACCAATTCCACTTACCAAATTAGACAATCTCCTATCAATCACGTTTCAGGACGCTATCATTCTGCCAAATTCTAAACTAGGTATGCTAGGCCTCACCATTTCCTCTAATATGTCATGGAAGCCACACATCCTCAACATTGTTAAAGCTGCCACCCAAAAGCTGGGAATGCTGTACAGATGCCGTAGCTACTTCACTTCTGAGCAGTTGCTTCAAGTACCGGTATATAAGGGATTTATTCGTCCTAACTTTGGAGTACTGCTCCCATATCTGGGGTGGCTCTTCTGTCCAACTGTTAAATAGGGTGGAATCAAAGGCATGTCGTCTGATTAACTCTCCTCCTTTATTTGATAATCTTATCTTCCCTTTCTCTTCACAATGTTGCTTCACTCTCTTTTACAGGTATTTTAACGGGCAATGTTCGGTGGGTTTGACATCCTGTGTACCGCCGGCAAGGCCGTGGGCTCGTAATACACGTCTTGCCCGTGGTGCCCACCGTTTCTCTGTGGATGTCAGTCACACTAGAATAACCCATTATAGTACATCCTTTCCCCACACAGCCAAACTGTGAAATGCTCTGCCTTCTCTGTTTCCACACTCATACAATCTGGCTCTCTTTAAAAAGCTGGTGTTCCATCTTCTTCATGGTGATGTTTAACATACCCCTTTTCTTTTCTATTTTTAATTTAATTTTCCTTATTTTTTATTTTTTGTCCCCTAGGTCCCATTGTGGGTTAATGACCTGTGCCTGGGTGGGTTATTCCCCATAAAAAAAGAAGTATGTCTTACCGCAGATGGTATTGTTAGGTTTACCATGTACTGTATGGAGATGCTTTGTATCAAAGATTTTCCCTGGCTTTATTATGTGAAGATTAATCACCCTGACACTAACCTAACCTTTAAACAGCTGTTTCTTGCTGACGATGAAGGATGATAGCATCGAAGGCATTTTCGACACCCTAAAGCAGTGTGCACTCATTTCGAAGTTTGCAGGAGGTATTGGTCTTAACGTACACTGTGTCCGAGACACAGGGAGCTACATTGCCGGAACTAATGGTACATCTAAGGGCCTGGTGCCTATGCTCCAAGTGTACAACAACACAGGTGATGTATAATGTGTTTCTTTTAATTTACTTTTATCCTCTTCACCACTGATCGGCTTGTTAGCCGATTGGGCGATCGGTCACGTCTCTGTTACGCACTGTTGGCAAGTACTGGGCATGCACCGGCTCCTGAATGTACCTGAACCTGCTCCAGTGTTGGTCAAGTCTTGTCTTGAAAGAGTTCACACTTGGTGCCGTCACAACACTTTCTGGTAGATTGTTCCAAGAGTTCACAACTCGCATTCCGACAAAGTTTGCCCTCACAGTTTTCTGGACCTGCGGCTTCTTCAATCTTGAGCTGTGACCAGTGGCGTTTCTAGCCTTCGGAAAGGGGGGGGGCCAAAACCAAACCTGTGTACAACTTGCAAGATGCAGTTTTTGGCATTATTACACCAATTTGATTGACAAATGTGAAGTGACGTCTCTCATGATGCCAGCCTAAAATAATCAGCATATAGCTGTATAATGGCAACGCTCTTATACTGTACAGCTCAGCTCAACTACAGCCACTTGAACTGAATGATTGAGATTGACTGATTGTAATATTATTCCTATAGTTAAAAAATTACTTACATGTTCTCTCTAAACATACCTCACTTAGCAAGTAGAAAAACCCACAGTGGCACTGTGGCAGAAGAAATATTTCTTCTGGGTAGTTTCGGCGACAAATTCGACAATTACTGTCAGTCTGTCACCCTCCTCAGTGGAAATACAGAGTGGTAATGTTTATCACCGACAAGGCAGTTTGTTTATATACACCGTGATGTGACCCCACCCCGCATATCTGAACCCTCCCAATTCCTGCCCTCCGGGCCTCACCTCACCTCACCTCATCTCACCTCACCCATGCTTGCATTTGGCGTGCGGTGCGCTCATTGCCCGAGTCACTTGACTCACTTCCTGGTTTTTGGAATGTCTTTGGAATTACAATTTTGAGAATAAAAAGTGGGGGGGCATATTTAGCACAATTTACATTTAAGCGAGATTAACATTTTATTATGTATGTTCATATGTGGCGGTATATACCTAGAACATTGAACGAACGACTGTGGAGCTCCCCCGAATAGGTTAGATTCTATTCAAATTTGTTTGTCTGATGGATTTTGTTGTATTTTCAGCACTTTTTACCACAAAAAATGCATGATCCAAGATTAAATGTAAAAATTATGTAACTGATGACAGTTAGGTTTGGATACATCCAAAGTTTTGGCGCCCTCCACTATATTTACTATGACAAATGTGGCCCAGAGCCTACAAAAGATTGGGGACCACTTTCCTAGCTTATAATATAGACAGGTAAGGGGTGACCTAATTGAAGTTTATAAACATCTCGGAGGGCACTACTTCATTGAGTGTCCATACTTGGAGCTGGTGGATGCTCGCTCCATAAGGGGCCACAGCTCAAGGCTGATGAAGCCACAAGTCTGGAAAATTGTGAGGGCAAATTTTTTTTGGAGTGAGAATTGTAAACTCTTTTTTTTTATAATTTGCCAGGTTATTGTGACGGCACCGACTGTGAGCTCTTTCAAAACTAGACTTGGTGAAGACTAATACAGGTACAGATACATTGTGCAGCCACTGCTGTACTTGCCTACAGTGTGTAACAGAGACATGACCGACCGCCCAAGCAGCTAACAAGCTGATCCGTGGTGAAGATAAAAGTATGATTTGACTACAGTATTTCTACTGATTTTTATGTTACTGTTTATTGCACATAAATTATAGCAATCATTTAGGGTTTTTGAATAAAAGAATGACCCTGTATTTAATGCACAACTGTTGGTAAAGGTGAGAAGCTTCTGGGTCTCCCCAAAAAGATGAAAATATAAAAGAGTGGGAAGTATGGTATTCTCTGTTATATTAAAGTTTTTACATGCTAGCTATTTTTACTAAAACTGTTTGTAGTGGATAGTTGTTTGTTATTTAATGATTATACTGGCTAGTTATGTATACACTTAATGTTTATACTGGTTAGTTTTTATATATTAACTAAGGATGTTTATACTAGCTAGTTATTTATACTAAGGATATTTATACTGGTTATTTATGTGTTAACTAAGGGTCATTATACTGGCTAGTTATTTATACTAAGGAAATTTATCCTGGTTAGTTATAAAGATGTTTATACTGGCTAGTTACAGTTTGTATATTAACTAAAGATATTTTTACAGGGTATTTATTTATTAACTAAGGATGTTTATACTGGCTAGTTACAGTTTATATATTAACTAAAGATATTTTTACAGGGTATTGTATTTATTTATTAACTAAGGATGTTTATACTGGCTAGTTATTTAAATTTTTACCTTTATTTTTATGCTCTGTCACTGATAGGCTTGTTAGGCATTTGGACGGTCAATCATATGTCTGTTCCGTACTGGGCATGCACTGAGTCCTAAATGTACTGCATCTGTGCCTGTGCCAATATTGGTCAAGTCTGGTCTTGAAAGAACTTTCACTCAGTGCTGACACAACGCTGGTAGATTGTTCCATGAGTTTACAATTCTCACTGCGAAGAATTAACTGATACATTCTTGAATCATCAGCTCGTTACGTTGACCAGGGAGGGAACAAGAGGCCCGGTGGATTTGCCATATACCTGGAGCCCTGGCACCCATGTGTCTTTGAGTTCCTTGAATTACGCAAGAACACTGGTAAAGTAAGTATGATGCTGTGGTGTGACTTTATCCTTGCCATGTAGTGAGTTACCAGAATTACCCTTGACTGCCAATTTTTGAAGTGACCTTTTACATGAAAACACCTGTGGCAATTTTGGAAGTGACAATATAGTTCTGTATTAGGGAAACACCTATATGGCAATTTTGGAAGTGACTTAATACAGTACATACAGTATTAGGAAAACACGTGTGGCAATTTTGGAAGCGACATAAGAGTACAGTATTATAAAAATGCCTGTATGGCAATTTTGGATGTGAATACATTACAATGATATCCCAGTCAGCCAGAACAATTGGTGCAAAGCACTTCTGGGGATGAGAGATGTCCAGGTAACAAGATGACTTTCTAAAACTTGGAGTTTCCTCCCCCCCCCCACACCACTGATCGGCTCGTTAGCCACTTGGGCGATTGGTCACGTCTCTGATTACTTTTCCTTTTCTTTTATCTTCTTCACCAAAAGATCGGCTCGTTAGCCGCTTGGGCATTTGGTCACGTCTATGTTACGCACTGTTGGCAAGTACTGGGCATGCACCGGCTCCTGAATGTACCTGAACCTGCTCCAGTGTTGGTCAAGTCTGGTCTTGAAAGAGCTCACACTCTGTGCCGTCACAACACTTTCTGGTAGACCGTTCCAAGAGTTCACAACTCTCACTCCGAAAAAGTTTGGCCTCACAGCTTTCTGGACTTGCGACTTCTTCAATCTTGAGCTGTGACCCCTTGTGGGGTGAGCGTCCGCCAGCTCCAAGTAAGGGCACTCGACTGAGTAGTGCTCCTTCAGATGCTTATGCACCTCAATTAGGCCACCCCTTGCCCGTCTGTAGTATAACCTAGGCAAGTTCAGGCGCTCCAATCTCTCGGGGTAGCTGAGGTGCCGAAGTGCAGGCACCAGTCTGGTGGCCTCCCTTTTTCGGTTACTGGATAAAGTTTCCGAGTGTCTAAACTAGACATCTTGCATAGATGAACACTAGCCCACTTCCCCAGAATTTTTCTGGGTGTTGAAGTTTTCCTGGAGTCTAAACTTTTGGAATCCGTAAAAACAGTTTTAATTATGTTAGAAACTTAATTTCTTTGCTATAATAATCCAGAAGTTTATCTAAAAGTTTGGTTAAATAAATACTGTATATTTAAAAATTAAAACTCGAAAGGATATGGGCAAGAATGAAGCTGTGTGTTCCAGCAAAGACTGTTATTTTCCATTCCCATGAAGCTGTGGGGGATTTGCGGGTCTCGTGTAACTGACCTGACCTGATGCTATGTCAGTTGGAGGTAGGATGGGGGATTAGTGATCTCATTACTGACATGATAGAATGTCAGGTTACCCTTTCTTGGGTGGAGGATTAGTGGTCTCATGACCTGAAGGTGTCTTGAATAAACACGATACCTAAAGTATTTTTAGAGAGATGTGGTAAGTACAGATATAAGGGTAAATGAGCAAAGTTGTTTCCCTTCAACATTACATTACATAACATTTTAAAATGGAGTGAAAAAGCAGAAAGGTGTGGGTAATTAGAGAGGGGTGGAAATGAGTGGTGCCAAGCGCTCCTCAACAGCGAATATGTAACTCGCTACCATGCAGTCACATACACGCAGATGTGTCATACAATAAAATCTTCACTCCTTATGCTTGCTGTCTTAATTCTCTTGTTGGGGGTGTGTGATTGGTGGTGGAATGTGTGGTTGATGGAGGGTGTGTGTGGGGGGTTGTTTGTTTGTTGGAGGATGTGTGTGGGTGGTTGTTGGAGGGTGTATGTGGGTGGGTGTATGTGGGTGGTTGTTGGTGTGTGTGTGTGTAAATAATAATAATAATAATAATAAACGGTTTGTTAATAGAGTTGCAACCGGTGGCTGAAAATATACAAACTTACATGTGATTTAGACATAATAATATACGTTCAATACATTTACAGGGCTGTACAGTACTTAAATTAGGAGCTGTTTATTATTTTAACAATAGATGGTATGGTGCTGTTCTTATATCTATCAGTGCGGGCTCTTATGAACTAAATTTTGTTGTAGTGGCGGACTGCGAGAGGTGGGTAGGTGGCGACGACTAGGATGGTGCAGTAGTCCACTGCCAAACCTTGCTAGTGCGTGGTAGTGGAGGTCACCGAGGGATGGCATTTCCGGGGTGGAGAGAGCTTTGTTATAGCCATAGTAGTCTGCGCTGAGCATGATTCTGCAGGCCCTCTTCTGTACCTTTTCTAGCTGACATTGTTGGGTAGAGTTGAGAGAAGACGACCAGGCTGGTGACGCATATGTTAATTTTGGGGGGAGAAATGCGTTGTAGATAATCCTCGGCTCTGGCGTGGGTGCCCCAAGTAACCCGAGTCGTCGTAGCATGTAGAGTCAGTACGAGGCTGCCTTGATTGTGTTGTTTACATAGGCCTTCCAGTCCAGTTTGTGGTCTATAGTTGCACCCAGGAGTTTGGCAGACTGCACTAACTGGAGAGGATGGGCACCCACTGTAACTGCTTGAGCTTGCACTGGAGTGGTGGCGGTATTGATGTGCATGACTACGGTTTCGGTGTGATTGGTGTTGACCTTGTTCTCCATAGTCCATGCCTGTAGCCTGTCCAGGGTGCCTTGTAGCGATGAGTAGTCCGGTGAGGCGTTGTCCACTGTAACCCCCACAGTGCAGGCATCACGTACTTCCACCTGTGAGGAGTGTCCGATAGAGCGTCGTTGATCAGGATTAGGAAGCACAGTGGTCCCATCTTGGTCCCCTGGGGAACACTGCGGGTGAGGTGTTGGATTGTGGAGACAGAACCCTAGTACCTCACTGCCTGACGACCCTTACTTAGGAAATCTTGAGACCAGGTTGGTGAGCAGCCCTAGTGCAATGGCCTTGTGAACACAATGTGGGTCAGTGCTGTGTTGAACCGCCTGTCCTCAAACACAGGAAGGTTAATCGCATCCTCTCTTGTGAACACAGAGGAAAAGTAGCTGTTCAATGCCTCGGCTTTATCCTGGTCAGAATCTGCATAAGTACCATCTTCAAGCTTCAGGTCTGATACTCCTACTTGCATTTTTAATTTCGACTGCATGCATGTACAGTATATAAGTATGTGTGCCAATTTTAACCATGAGTGAAGCTAGTGCTTGAGCCATTCATATCCAAAATAAAGTCAAAGCTTGTTTTATTACTGCACAATCCTTAACATAATGATACCTAAAGTCTAAGCCTGTTTTAGTACTGCACAATCCTTAGCATAATGGTACTCAATGAAAGAACACTTTACTTTATCAAAATATTTTACTGACTTGCCTAACTTTTTGTATAATAGAATGAACAGAGGGCCCGTGACCTGTTCTATGCCCTGTGGATCCCTGACCTCTTCATGAGACGTGTAAAGGAGAATGGGGACTGGTGCCTGATGTGCCCTCGTGTGTGTCCTGGTCTCCATGATACTTGGGGTAAGCTTTACTAGATGGTGTTGGACTGGAGTAAATTTTACCATGTAAGATGTTTATTTTAATTGAAGAAAGGTTGTTATTATAAAAGTGCAACGGTTTGAATAAATTTACAGTAAATTTAAATTATTAACAGGTGAGAAGTTTGAGGAACTGTATATGAGGTACGAGAAAGAGGGCCGCTTCCGTCGTAAAGTGAAGGCACGTCAGTTGTGGTGCGCCATCGTTGAATCACAGGTGAGTGCGGATTGTGAGGATCAACATCTTTTACTTGTCTGTAAATTGTCTGAAATATATTTCAGAAATAGCAGCTAGGAAGAGCTTTCTTTAAAAAAAAATTATGAAATTAATTAATTAATGGTGGGATGGAAAATGAGCTGATTACATTACTGTATGACAAATACAATATTGTTTACAGACACTCATTATCCTACCATATACAGGTGGAGACTGGGACTCCCTACATGCTGTATAAGGATGCTTGTAACAGAAAGAGCAACCAGCAGAATCTTGGCACCATCAAGTGCTCTAATCTTTGTGCAGAGATTGTGGAGTATTCATCCCCAGACGAGGCAAGTCGAGTGTAGTTTGTTTGGTGTGGTTGGAGACGGCAATTGTAAGGTTTACCGTACAGTACAGTATATATGAAGTCAATACCAGTCACTCCAGCAGATCGTGATAGACTAGGCTACTTGGGTATGAGTGGCCTCTGAAGGGCAGTACTGTACTTCCAAATACGTAAATTAGAATGTGACTTCACTTGCCATGGCCATAAACCTTAAAAAATTTAAAGTATTGTGTTTTCCACGGGTTTATTCAAACAAATCAGCTCATTACAAATTTGGCCAAGTTAGTTACCAAACTCGTGGTTATTACCAAATCATATTTTTTCATTACCAAATTTTTCCCAATTTAGAAATGAAAAATATCCGTATTGAAGTATGAAAATAAAATTGAGTACAGTATTTGAGGTGGGTATATACCCTATACTGTATTTAAAGAGCTGTGGGGGTAGTTAAAAGTTTTCGTAGGGATGGGAGTTCCATAGTCAAGAATTATTAGGAACACAGGAGTTGCATAATGTTTGACAGATTGGAACCTGCAACGAGTAGGTGTGACTTGACATGGAAATTACAACTTGTAATCTGCGGTAAAGTTTTAGTTTTGGTCATCCGGGGAATCCTAGGAATATAACTATTGGAATCAGTAGTTTAGATAATTCAAAGACACTTCTACTTTGATATTTCCCTCACAAATAACTTGACCTAACCTCCTAACTGGAGGCTCCGCCCTCCCCACCCCCAGCATAATACTACAAAACACAATGTTTTGTTTATTCTAGGAGAAGGGCTGAGGTGCATCTGGGTAGACTCGCAGTCTTTTTAGTATTTTGTGTTTCTCTCAAGTACCAAACTAAATTATTCCATTGAAACAATACTTCGATTTAGTGAATTCGGTTTAAAGCCTTTCTTGGAACGTATCTCGAAAAAAGAAAAAAAATCAACGTTTTACTGTACCTGGAGCTGGCAGACGTCTGCCCCACTAGGGGTCACAGCTTAAGGCTGAAGAAGTCACATATCCAGAAAACAGTGAGGGCAAACTTTTTTGGAGTGAGAATTGTGAACTTTTGGAACTCTGCCACAGTGTGTTGTGATATCATTGAGTATGAGCTCATTTAAGTCCAGACTTGACCAACACTGGAGCAGGTTTTGATATATTCAGGAGCTAGTTCATGCCCAGTATTTGCAAACAGTGCACAACAAAGACTTTGACCTACTGCCCAATCAGCTAACAAACAGATCAGGGGCAAAGAGGATAAAAGGAAAAGTAATATTAAAACAAATCTTTTGGTATAATCATATGTGGAATGTTTATATGATGAACTCCCGTAAATGCACTAGTGAAGGGGACTATATGTTTAATTTTTGATACTGTATAATTTTATAATTTTCAATTTTATTCCTCACAGGTTGCTGTTTGTAACCTAGCATCCATTGCTCTTAACATGTATGTTAATCCAGATAAGACCTACAACTTCTCAAAGCTGAAGGAGGTCACTAAGGTAAGACTTAAGGTATAGTTTTGAGTTTTTAATTAATTTCTCAGTGTGGGAAGTGTTCTTTGAATCTTATGTTATACTGGAACCTGGTGGTGGAGGAGGAATTCCAGCATAGGTGATGCTTTAATATATGCACTCTCACATGCAAGCATATTTCTTGTAGGTTGTTACTAAAAACCTCAATAAGATCATTGATGTGAACTACTACCCCGTGGAAGAAGCACGACTCTCTAACATGCGACATCGTCCTCTTGGAATTGGCGTTCAAGGTTTGGCTGATGCCTTCATCCTTATGAGGTATTTAACTTAGGTTATCATGTAAACTTTTTGAGATAATGTATTTTAAGTTTTTAACATGTTTCTTAGTATTCATTTATTCTGAACAATGCTTAGTTTCTTGTGTATAGTATATCTAAGTTTTATAAGTAATGATGTGTTGTTCACTTGTGTAGCCTTTATTGTACATTAATGATTTGTAAATTTCACCCGTCTTATTTTTACTGCAGATATCCCTTTGATTCTGTGGAAGCCAAGTACTTGAACATACAAATATTTGAAACAATATACTATGGAGCCTTGGAGGCCAGCTGTGAACTGGCAGAGAAAGAAGGTCCATACGAGACTTATGAAGGATCACCCATCAGCAAAGGAGTAAGTTTATCCTTTTTGAGAACACTGTCAAGGTAATACACTAACTGTATACTGTTATTCAGTTTACTAGTTCAAATTTTTTCAGATCATGTGATGATTGTGGGCCAACTTATTTCAACTTAAGATTAACTACCCTAACCTAACTCCCCAGGTCAGATAAGGGTGTTTAATCGTAAGATGAAGTAAGCTGGGCTAACTAATCTTGAAGTGATCCAAATTTTTCTACCATAAATAACTAGTAAATAATTTATAAAGCTGTTGGGAGGAAAGTTTTCCCTAAAGTGATTTTGACCCTCAATAGGAACTGTTACTGTGTATACATGGTCAAGACATCAATTATTGAAAGCTGAATCTAACTCTTCCTTTGCAGATTTTCCAGTATGACATGTGGAAGGTGACACCCACAGACCTTCATGACTGGGCTGCTCTCAAGGCTAAAGTGGCTAAGTTTGGTGTGCGTAACTCTCTGCTCCTCGCTCCCATGCCTACTGCTTCCACTGCCCAGATCCTTGGAAATAATGAATCAATTGAGGCGTACACCTCTAACATATACACCCGAAGAGTGCTCTCAGGAGAGTTCCAGGTTAGTTGTTGGAGAGAGAGTATCCTGAGATCAATTCTTGTCGTAAGGCTTCTTGTGGTGGTGGTGCTCAAACTATAAAACAAAGTACCATAATTTGGTTGTTTTGCGGTAAACTGGTCTAGAAACTAATACAGTCTGTAAGGAGCACATAAGTGAAGTAGGAGGAACACCGGTATGACCGAAAAAATATATGATATCTCACTAGTATCAATTAAATCTGCACTTACAATGCTACAGTCTTCCACTTGAATCGCTTCAATATCATCACTGGTTCCAAAGTTATAGTAATTTTAATGTTTTCAAACTTTTTTTTATTTTATTTATTTTTATTTTTTTATTTAAGGCACTTGCCCTATTTTGGTTCAGTGCACCTCTATGTAAATTAAAGAAAAATTGATTGTTGATTGAATACATTTTTACTTTAGTTTTCTTGCTGTGTTTATTGTTATGCTTGGGTAATAATGAATGACCTTATCTATCATGTAATTACCAACTAATTGCTCAGATTGTCAACCATCACCTCTTGCGAGACCTGACTGAGCTTGGATTGTGGGATGACAACACCAAGAACGAAATAATTTCCCAGAATGGTTCTGTCCAGGTGAGTGTATATTCAGGGTGTCTACTGGTCTAGAAAACATGGAAAAGACAGGAAATTTTATTTGGATCGGGAAAACCTGGAAAAGCCAGGGAATTTTATAAATAAACCTGGAATTTTATGTGAATTCAGTTCAACTTCAAATTACAGTATTGTTTTGATGGCAATGTTACCATAAATTAATGGTGTACTACAGTATATATAATAAGTAAATAATTAAACTTTTAGGAACAAATTCCAGTAATTAGTCCACTCCAATAACTGAATTGTTTGTGTACCTATCATATTTCATGTTAGCGATCAAATAACCTGTATTACAGGTTATATATAATATTTCTGCTATAAGTATTGTCAGAGATGAATTTTTCTTATAATTAAGTGACTTTATTTAAGTGGATTATTCCACATATCATGAGTAATATAGGTGGATCAGGGGTGTGATTTTCAGTTTTTCTGGATTTCCAGCTTTTTGGGAATATCCAGGTCGACCCACGTGAATCGTGCAAATCCGAAGAGAAAAATTTGGAGGTCATGGTCCTTTTGATTATTTGTAATTGTCACATTGTTTATAGGTAATGTGTGCTATAAAATGGTTGTGGAAAGAAGTTGTAATATTTGTTGGATGTCCTGGAGTTGATTTACTTTTATTTTTATCCTCTTCGCCACTGATCAGCTCATTCGCCGCTTGGGCAGTCATTCACGTCTGTTATCCACTGTTGGCATGTACTGGTTCCTGAATGTACCTGTTCCAGTGTTGGTGAAGTCTGTTCTTGAATGAGCTCATACTCAGTGTCATCACAACACTGGCAGATTGTTCTAGGAGTTGACAATTCTCACTGAAAAACTTATGCCTTAGTTTTCTGGACTTGTACCTTCTTCAACCTTGAGCTGTGACCCCTTCTGCCCTCTGAAATGTTTATAAACTTCAATTAGGTCACCCCTTGCCTGTCTGTTGTATAAGCTAGTTAGTTGCAGGCGTTCTAATCACTGGGTAACTGAAGTGTTGCAGTACAGGCACTAGTTTGGTGGCCCTTTGGACAATTTCAATCGGCTGACAGTCTTTAGTATATCGGGGGACCAGATGGTGATGTACCTCACTCTTGAAGGAAAAGTAACAGAGACGTGACCGATCGCCCAAGTGGCTAATGAGCCAATCAGTGGTGACGAGGATAAATGTAAAAAAGTAAGTAAAGTAACAAGGGATGGACCATCTTGATATCTGAACAACCTTCTTATAAGACTTACTAGTTTAGTTGCTTAATTAACCTTCTCAAAATGACTCGAGAACTTCAGTTCGTTGTCAACATACACACCCAGGTTCTTTCACATTCGGTCTCAATTAATGCAGTTTCTTTGTCCCATTGTGACATGTGATATGGCCTCTTACTGTTGGTATGACTTGTGTGCATCCTCTTACACTTCGTGACATTGAATCTCAGCAGCCATTTCTTCGACCACTCTTGAAGCTGACAAAGAGATAGATCATTTCTGTAGCTCTTCACGGTCTGTTTAGTTAATTTCTCTGAATAACTTGGCATCGTTTGTATCGTGTGTCATTTATGAAAAAACAAAACGACGACCCAGCACATTTCCCTTTGTTATCCCGCTTGTCATGGTTACACATGACAATTTCATGCCATTAATCACCACACTGCTTGTGGTCGTGAAGAAAGTCTCCGATCCACACTAAGACACTTCCCCCAAATCCTGTACCATTCCAGTTTTATTCTCAGCCTTTCATGGGGTATGCTGTCGAAGCCTTGGCAAAATCTGGGTACAATAATATCTCCATTAGCTGGAATCCCTCAAACCTGGAACTCTCCTATAGCCGGAATTGAAACTTTCAAGAAAAATCGTTCCCAAAGGCATTGGGAATGATTTTCTGAGGAGCACATTTTCCGGAAAATTCAGAGAAAATTTTCCTGATACCTGTAAAATTCCGAGGATTGGGGTGTTTTTTTTTTCCCCGGGTTTGAGAGATGAAAATCCGGCGCATTTTCCGGAAATTCCGAGACAAATTTTACAGTACAGGTAGTTCTGCTATAACGCGATAATTGTGTTCTTGTAAAATATCGTGTTATAGAAAATCGCGTAATAGAAATAACAGGGCTTATGGAGAAAATATGGTTAGGTGCAGATTACTCGAAATCGAAAAAATTTAGTAGTTAGCCTAACACAAAGGATAGCACAGTCTAAATAAATGTTACATTCATATCTAATAATGAAATCATACAGTAAATGTAACACTTTACCTTGAAAAAATATGAATGTAACTTGATGGGGGAGAAGGGTGATTTTGAGGTTGATAAAATCGAGCTTCTCTTCAAGTGTTATATCCTTTCTTTTACGATCATCACCGGGAATTCTATCACCAGAACGCGTCTTGGAGATATTCTTTACCATATTCACAGTTAATACCACAAAATTGGAGAAATAGTAAGCAAAAATCGCGTTATAGCAAACAAGCGTTCGCGTTATACAAATATCGTTCCTAATTCATAAATCGCGTTAGAGCAAATTCGCGTTATCAAAACTCACTGTACCAGGAAATTCGGGGGATGGGGGATATTTTTCCGGGTTCGAGAGATGATGTAATGGCAATTTCTGGAACATCCGAGAACATTTTTCTTTTACCTGGAAAATTCCGGGGATGAGGGATTTTTTTCCGGCTTTGAGAGTCTTCTCGTTACCCGGAAATCGAAATCTCTCCTCCCCGGAAGTGCTCTGCACCAATTATTCCAGCTAAGGGAGATATCACTGCATATATATTGTCGATATTACTGCCTGTTCCAGAATTTGGGTCAAAACATCCAGTTTATGCTTACACAGTTTATCTTATTTCTGTGCTATCTTCATTATCTGATCTTGGCTTATCAACTATTTCAGAACATTGCAAATATTCCAGCTGATCTAAAAGCGCTTTATAAGACAGTGTGGGAGATTTCACAGAAGGTCATTATTGAGATGGCAGCAGATCGTGGGGCCTTCATTGACCAGAGTCAGTCACTCAACATACATATTGCAGAACCTAATTATAGCAAGCTGTCCTCCATGCACTTTTATGCTTGGGAAAGGGTAAGTGTTTTATTCTTGTATTATAGTATAAACAAGTGGCGCTGGCTGACTCTTGGTGGGGATCTATGAATAGTGCACACAGCTCACTCGTCATTAATAGACGTACAACATTGTTATAAAACTTAAAGTCGTGATGTTATTCATTTTTGATAAGTGGTATCTTTAATATTCTTGGAGTATTTTTCTAATGAATGGACTAATTCAACAGGGGTTAAAGACTGGAATGTACTACCTCCGCACAAAGCCCGCTGCCAATGCTATTCAGTTTACAGTTGATAAAACCAAGCTAAAATCAACCACTGATGCCACTGCTAAGACGAATGGGACCACAAATGACTCTCTCAGTGGCACTGTCAATGCTGTCAAGAATGAAGAAGAGTAAAACATGGCTGCCATGGTGTGCCCACTTGAATATAAGGATGACTGCCTTATGTGTGGGTCATAAATTTGTAACTCTTAAGAGATTATAATTACATTATATCTTGTAAGATATTCTTTTTAGATTTTCTTTGGTTTAATTATGTATCTACATTTGCATATACCATTTTTAATCATTAATGATGCAAACTGTGATTTATTTTTATTCTTTTTCATATTAATCCTTTTGTTGGCTGCTCGTGCAGTCCAAATCTCACCCATAGACCAGCCAATGATGCAAATTGCATCATCCAAAATGCATAGAATTTTCTTTCAATTTATTATTTCATTTACCATTTATGGATAAAAGTATTTTATTTAAGTTCTCAAGATAAACTCTGACAAAGTGATAAAAAAAAAGAGTTGAATAAATGATATGGGATGGCTGAAAATGAGTGGAGAGAGATGTTATGTGCCAATGTGAGCACTCAGGGTGATGGGAAATACCTGTATATCTCTTCTAACGGTCTGTGTAGTGATGCAAATAGCGTCTTCAGCTGGCGAAAGATTAATAATAAATGTACATACCTAGAACTTCATACTTTCAATAGTTATCTGTGAACTGGATACCTCTGGTTGAAAGTTGTTTCTTATGTTTTAAGTAAATCTTATAATTTTAGCTTAAATTTGTAATACCTTTTGTTCTTGAGCAATTCTCTCATCCAGGGTAGCTGGAATAGTTTTAATACTTATAGATTTGTACATGAGGCTTATTGGTTATTTTATATTTTCTTGGTAAACACAATTATATTTTTGTTCTTTGCTGTAAACAGTAGGACCCTCTTAAGTTGTACTTTCATAAGTCAGACCAGGGTCTGTGGCATGCGAGTGCATCTCCGCTACCCTCTGTGTTTTCCCTCTTTCAGTACTCCCCTGGTGAACTATTATGGTGTCATGTAATGAGGTTGAATTGATTTTACTTGAATTAATATAAAAATTGAATTTTCTTTTGTAACAAAATATTCAAGTATCTATAGAAGTACAGTAGTTTAGTTATCCTTCTGAAATGTAGGAGAATAGGGGCTGATAGAGCGTGGGAAGTATTAAGCTTACATCAGTTTTAAAGCAAACGTTGTAATACATTCTTAAATTGTGAAGTTAACCTTAATTGTTATTTAATCTGAAATAACCTATGAAAAAGATTGATGATCACTTTTAGATGAGTGGCTAGTCCTAAAATGTAACTCATTGAATATTTTTGAAGTAAATATCTTGTAGAAAGTTTGGGAGTTATTGTAATAATGTGATTTTTCCAGTAGATATGTAATGTTATCTTATTAATTAATTGTAAGATAAATTGATGATTGTAGATTATGATGATTTACTTGACTAATAAATAATTAAAACTACTTCATAAATTGTGAGATACCGAGAGGAAAGTTTGGAGTGTATTAGTAAAATGAACGTCGACAATTCAGGTTCAAATAATATCGACTGCTGTGATTTTCGGTTTTCTGGTGCATACTCATTGAAATTGTGGGGGATTTAGAAAGAATTTTTAAGTGTTATAAACATTGAAATAACTTGCAGAAAATTATGAATCTAAGAAATGGGGAGTTATTTGGCAGGCAAAAAACTAGCAAGGGGCGAGGCATCTCGGGGTGTTTTCATTCACCCAGATCGCACGGTAATGCAGAGGGAACAGCACAAGAAGCTCCTGCAGGACTTGAAGCAGAAGAGGGAGGAATGGGGACGGGTGTACGTGGTTTATATTCAGGGAGAGTTTTTAGTTTAACAAATTTATTGACAAATCCTGGAGTACAGTTTGCCTATTCCAAGTAATTTGGGGAAGTGGAAGTAAGTGTGATGACACAGGGCCAGGGGGCAGCAGCGCACCCTCCACCTGCTCTACCCCCACTCGGGAGGTGGCACCAGCTCCGCCTACCAGACAGGAGGAGGCGAGTGCCGTGTAAACAACAACATTTCTAACCACACCCTGCAAAATACAGTGTACTTAGCAAATGCTGCAGCTTCTGAGAATGGGGGGGAGCTAGTTTACTACTAAGAGCAAAGACGTTACCAAGAACAAATTCTGGCTTCAACGTCATGTACTTTGAGAGATCATTTTCAGTTCCAACATTTTAGAGACCCGAAACATTACAGAGGGGAGCAAACACCCAAGCCACTAGACCTCATCATAACAAACGAGGAGGGTATGGTGGCCAAACTGGAACACCTTGTCTCAGTTGGCACCAGTCACCATATAGTGTTGTCATTCAGATTTAACTGTTACCTAGTTCAGGATAAGGCCAGGCCAAGGTGCAAATATTACGAGGGAAATTACAACCCAGTGCCTCTAGGAATACGAGGGGATCCCTATATCTGAAACATGCGGCGGTTAACAAAGTTAAGAAGAAAACCCAGAAATTCAAGACGTGGGTTGGGTCAAACGATGAGCAGGACAGGAGGATGTATGCAAGAGCCAGAAACCAAGCAAAGATAGAGTGTAGAAGGGCTGAAAAGGAGTTCCAGAGGCTGGTTGCAAGCGAGGTCAAACCCAAAGGTATTTTACCGCTATGCAAAGTCAAAATTAAAAACCGTGAGTAGGAGTATCAGACCTGAGGCTTGAAGATGGTAGTTATGCAGATTCTGACCAGGATTAAGCTGAAGTATTGAACAGCTTCTTTTCCTCGGTGTTCACAAGAGAGGATGCGATTAACCTTCCTACGGTTCGACACAGCACTGACCCACATTGTGTTCACAGAAGAGGGTATTAGAAATAAAATGTTAAAGCTAAAGGTCCATAAGAGTCCCGGCCCTGACATGGTGCATCCTAGAGTGCTAAGAGAGTTGTGCAACGAGTTTGCTGAGCCCCTGAAGATCCTGTTTTGCAGATGCCTGGATGAACAAAAGGTCCCCAGTGAATGGAAAGTGGCAAATGTGAGTCCTATCCAACGCAGGCTTCGTTGGATGTGTTTGAAGTCCTATGTTGGAAATTCTCGCTGTCCAATGGAAGGAGGGTCGGTTCTACCCTGACATCACGGCAGATTTCCTTCAACATATTTGCTGTGAGATCCCTTACTTCGTCATGCCTCATGCCTATGAAGCTCCCTTTCTTGCACACCATGGCGTGATCGACGTCATAGGACGAGCCACACACGCATTGGGAGGGCAAACCTACTGGCCTACTGTACCTTAGAGCAATGGCATCTGTAAATTCTTGTTTATTGAGACTGAAATCATTTGTCCTTATCGGTAACAATTAACCAGTTCGAGGCGCCCACCTCCTGTGCTATAGCTACTTTTTTTTTCCAAATTCTCTGGTACTTGCAGCAACAGTTGCTGCAACTTATGCCAGTGGGCCTATGCGCTGTCTCTCCAGGATCCACTGCTGCTCCGAGATTCCCTTTATGTCTATCCCGGGCCCAGGAGGCACCCAGTCACTGTTTGTTGCCACGAAGAGGCACAGCAGGAGTCTTGATGGTGAAGAGGCTGTGTACTGGTAGCGGAGGACTTATGAAAGCTGCTTCCCTGTTCACCCCTCCAAGGCTAGCCATTGGCGGTAGCTGAAAGTGAGGAAGCAAGTAGTGCTTGCACTTTAACACAAACATATTGCTGCCACACTAGACGCATTATACCACCAAATGTGTGTGCGGCTGTGCGCGCGCGCGCACACAAATACATACAGGTACATACACACATTCAAGATCCCTTGTGAGTTTAGATCCACATTGTTTTAAAACGAGTCAACTGTTGAAATTAATCGTGGAAATGATATATGGGGTTATTTCCGATGAAAATTCCATTAAAACCCGCTGAATAATGAGTATTAATTTATCTCTGTTTATAAGTCTCTATATCTCTCTCTCTCTCTCTCTCTCTCTCTCTCTCTCTCTCTCTCCCCCACGGGTACCGTAAAGACAGGCTCGTGAGCTGTCATCTCCAGCCACTACATAAGTCACCCCTCGTCCACCCGCTTTCTCTTTCTTGCGATCATGTTATCGCTCAACTTTAAGAAAATAAGGAGTCTGCAATAGGCCGGTTGGCCTGTGCATGGCAGCTCCTGTCGAGAGTTACTACCACTCTATCATCCATGAATCTATCTAGCCCGTATAGTACCTGCCTCCCCTTGACATGTTCTTTACCTTTTTCTCTGTCTTTATCATTTTCTTTATTTCCATGTACAGTATAGTACAGCCAGTGTCAAAAGTTTGTTTGAAGCAGTTTGACCCCAAATGAGATAAAAGAGCACACCGGTACCAAACGACAGTCAGGGTTTATAAGTTATGAGACTCACTCCCGTGACAACAGTTTCACTGCTTCAATCTTTAGACCCTGATTGTACAGTACAGTATATGGTGTGTATACCTGCACTGTTTACTGTGTGTGTTAAGTTCCTGCATTTTATCTACATCACTTGTATACCTGCAGTGTACCAACGATGATTTTACTGAATATTTTCCTCAAAGCCACCCACTAGAGATGGCCATGCCGAGGGAAGGAGGCCAGTGGCCTGTGTAAGATGCCTCCGTTGTTCTTGATAGTCTTGTCAAGGGTTATTTTGAAGCCAGTGCTGTTCGTGGTTCCACAGCTTGGGCTGGTAGACCGTTCCTTTTGTCTACCAACCTCTATGCGAAAAAGTGTTTCCTTATATTCGTTTAGCATAACTTGGGGCGCTTGTCCTCTCGTGTTAGTGGTGTATGTATGTAGGTACATACTTACTGTATGTATGTATGTATGAGCTCTCCTTCAATTCTCTTCCGCTTGTGTCTTGACATAAATTATTTTTTTTCCTGAGCGTTTTGGTCGAATATCATATAATCGCCTCTATATATATATATATATATATATATATATATATATATATATATATATATATATATATATATATATATATATATATATATATATATATATATATATATATATATATATATATATATATATATGTATAATGGTTGCCCCTCGTATACGAGGATGGCCGGCCCAAGGGCCACCTCGGCGTGAATTTGTTTAAGGTGTAGAAGCTGTCGCCAACACAACACCCCACATCCTGTTAACGAGTCGCATGACCCAGTGTCATGGAATAGTCCGAGAAGACCGGACAACTCATCAACTGCACAGGCTAAAAATTTCCCCGGAACATGATCCGCAAGTTAATTAACATCCAGGTCCCAATTACTGCTGGGTAGACAGTGGCAAATGATGTAAAGAAACTTTCTCACGGTTTTACCCTGCCCGGGGATCGAAGCCGGGTCCACTTGCTTGCGAGGCAAGAATGCTGACCATTACACACAATCCCTCTCCCTTTGTGGACCAACTGCTCATTTAAAAAACAATTATAATTCGTGTGATGTAATAATGATGATCCGTGTGAGAGAATCTTCACCTGTTGGGAGGACATAATTCAACAAGTTATTGACCGATGCCTCACATCACTCTCTCGCTCTTTCCCTCCCTCTCTTCCTCACTACACCCCTCTCTCACTCTCCCTCCCTCTCTTCCTCACTACATCCCTCTCCCCATTCCTCTCGACCCCCCTCACTCTCTCCTTCCTTTCCTCAATACTCACCCTCCCTACCTCACTTCACTTTCTCACTACACCCCTGCCTCTCGCTAACTACACTCTCCCTTACTCCCACATTACATTCCTCCCTCCCTCGCTACACTCCCTCCCTCACTACACTCCCTCCCTCACTACACTCCCTCCCTCACTCATTCATTTAACCCCTACTCCCTGCTTCCCTTCCACACTATATGCCCTCCGTCACTCCTTCCCTAACTCCACTCAGTCTCTCCTTCTCTCTATCCTTTCATCATTTCTCCACCACACACCCTTCCCCCAGCCCTCCTCTCTGACGTAATTATGTCTTAAAGGGAGTGTTTCTGTCTGGGGTAGACCTCTCACTCTAAACGTGTGTGTGTGTGTGTAGTTACTTACGTATGGGTGAGTACATTATGTATGGTAACGTATACCTTTGACTGTCCCTGTATCAGTATTTGTGTATATTACATAAACAATTCACTATAATGATGTGGATGGAGGGAGTGAGTGAGGGAGGTGATGGAGGGAACGAGAGAGGGAGTGACGGGAAAAGGAGTAGAATGCTGAAGGAAGTGAGAGGGATTTAAGGAGAGAGAATGAAGATCATAAAAACTACATATTGGCACAGACGTATACAACCAGAGAACAAAAGACATCTACAATACACTATTACAGATGCGGGGCATAAAAAATAACAACACGATCTTCAGTTATAAATCCTTATTAATTCACGATAAGAAAATAATTAATACTCGTCTTTATTACACGCAAGTACAGTAAATATATTTCAGGGT